TCCTCCTCCCACCTTTCGTGTAACCTCTTGTGGTTTTCTGTTCTAGTTTCCAACAGAGTGACTTGAGCTTTCAGTGTAATATGGCTCAGCTTCCTTTCCTGGCAATGGTCTACACATCTGAATGCGAGGGAGCCAGCGTGGTGTGGTGGTTAGGAGCGCAGACTCTAATCTGGGAGAACCGGGTTTGATTCCCCACTCCTCCACATGCGGCTGCTGGTGTGACCTTGGGTCAGTCACAAGTTCTCTCAGAGCTGTTCTCTCAAGGGTAGTTTTCAAAAGAGCTCTCTCAGCCCCGCCTACCTCGCAGGGTGTCTGTTGTGGGGAGGGGGAGGGGAAGGAGTTTGTAAGCCGCTCTGAGACACCTTTGGGTAGTGAAAGGTGGGGAATAAATCCAATCTCTTCTCTTCTTTGTCTTCTTTTATGAACCACAAGGAAATGTAGGGTTTCCAGCTTCCAGGTGGTGGCTGGAGATCTCCTGGGATTGCAACTGATCTCCCGACAATAGAGATCAGCCCCCCTGGAGAAAAGGGCTGCTTTGGGAGGTGGCCTCTGTGGCCCTGGACCCTGCTGAGGCCCTTCCCCTCCCCCAAACCTGACCTCCTCAGGCTCCACCCCTCAAATCTCCAGGGATTTCCCAGCGCAGAGTTGGCAACCTCATCTGGACTCCAGATTCTGAGTTAACCAGTCGGTCCAAACTCACACTCTGAATTTTGCTTTGGTTCCCTTGTTGCATTTCAAGGCGGTTCTGATCTGCTCCAGCGTCATGCCTGCCCAGCCTTTATTCCAAAAGTGTTCTTTGACCTTCCTATCTGGTAAGGCTGCCATTTGTGGGTCTCTTCACAGGAATGGTCTCCTTTTCTGTGTCTCATAGAATCATAGAGTCGGGAGGGGCCACGCAGGCCACTTAGTCCAACCCCCTGCCCAGGACTTTTTTGGTAGAAAAATCCCAGCAGGAACTCATTAGCATAATAGGCCACACCCAACAGCAGAAACTCATTAGCATATTAGGCCACACCCCATTCCTTCCTTGGCTTGCCCGGGTGCCCCACGACTGTGGGGAGACCATGCAAGCCCCCCCCCCCCGAAGGGAAGGGAAGACAGTGAGGGGAAGGGAAAGGAGTTTGTAAGCTGCTCTGAGACACCTTTGGGTAGTGAAGGGCGGGGTATAAATCCAATCTCTCTTCTCTTCTCTTCTCTTCTTCTTTGACCTTCCTATCTGGTAAGGCTGCTGTTTGTGGGTCTCTTCACAGGAATGTTCTCCTTTTCTGTGTCTCATAGGATCATAAGAGTTGGGAGGGGCCATACAGACCACCTAGTCCAACCCCCTGCCCAATGCAGGACCAGCCTAAAGCATCCCTGACAAATATTCAGTGAAGGAGAGCTCACCACCTCCCCGGGGTAGCTGATTACGCCTTTGAACCACTCTGACTGTGAAAAAAGGTTCTCCTAATATCCAGCCGATGCCTTTCTGCATGTGACTTAAACCCGTTGCTTCGGGTCCGATCCTCTGCTGCCCACTGGAACGGCTCCTTGCCCTCCTCCAAAGGACAGCCTTTCAAGTATTTAAAGAGAGCCACCATGTCCCCCCTCAATCTCCTCTTCTCCAAACTGCTGAGGGTCTGGTTGTCTCTCCACTTTTCAAGGCTCACCAGGACACCAAAATGAGTTTCTTCTCCCTCCCCCACAACCCGGGCTTCTGTGCAAGCACCTTCCCGAATCAACCTGGAGCTTTCAACATTAAGTAAATGGAAGACAACCTTCAACAACCATCCCTAAAGTATTTAATACATCATAGGCTGGGGAGCAGGTGGCACAGCTGTGGACAACAATGGGGGCAAGGGGGAGAGGAGATTGTTGTTCTCATCATCATCATCATCATCATCAACAACAACAACATCTATAGTGTGACTTACTTTAGAGATGGTTCTCTGAAAGGAAAGTGGAAATAGGCAAAGAATGAAAATCTATCATATCAGCACTGCCCTCTAGGGGACATAATTATGTATTGTGTAATAAATCCCAGGAGCTGCGGTGGCTGAACTGCAGGCTGTGGAAGGTCGGTAGTTCAGCAGTTCGAGACCCGGGTGCCGCATGACGGAGTGAGCTCCCGTCTCTAGTTCCAGCTCCTGCCGACCTACCGTGTTTCCCCGAAAAAAGACAATGTCTTATATTTATTTTTTTCTCAGGAAGACACACTAGGGCTTATACCACAAATGCATAGAAATCCTGCTAGGGCTTATTTTTTGGGTAGGTCTTATTTTCGGGGAAACAGGGTAGCAGTTTGAAAGCAAGAAATTGCCAGTAGATAAACAGGTAGCACTTCAGTGGGAAGGTAACAGCGTTCCGTGCGCCTTGGTGTTTAGTCATGCCGGCCACATGACCACGGAAACGTCTTCGGACAGCGCTGGCTCTTCAGCTTTGAAACGGAGATGAGCACCGCAACCCTAGAGTCGGACTCAACTGGCTTTCGAGCAAGGGAACCTTTACCTTTACCTTTAATAAATCCCAAATGCATCGAACACCAGAAAATGTTGGTAATGCAACCACAGAACGACCTTTGTTTGTTTGTTTGTTTAATTACTTCAGTTTCTATCTCGTCCTCCCCACAAGTGGGCTCTGGGCGGGTTACAGAGTCACATGAAAATCACGACTAACGTAACAATAAATGGAATGTTAACAATAAAAGTTAACACTGAAATCGACGATGCAGCAAAGCAGAGCAAGCTTGTCTGGATAACAGAGCTCAGATGGAAACATTTCGGAGTGGCGCCCCCTGGATAATGTGCTAGATTAAAAAATCAGCGCTGCCAGTCAGGGAGGCCGAGATGGATTTGGACGCCCCGATGCCTCACCCGAAAGCATGGCAAAACAGCTCCATTTTACAGGCCCTGCAGAACTGGAACAGATCCCACAGGGCCCTGGCTCTCAAGCGGGAGCTTGTTCCACCACGCAGGGACCAGGGCTGCAAAAGCCCGGGACCTGGTCGAGGCCAATCGGACATTCTTCGAGCTGGGGACAGCTAAAAGATGTTGATCGCTGGATTGTAAGACTCTGCAGGGCACATAGGGGGAGAGGCGGTCCCAAAGATATGCAAGTCCTTGGCCGTATAAGCCTGTGAAGCAAAAGTGCCTATGAAAGGTTAAGTGATGTGGTAGTACGCGAGTCTTCTTCCTAGTGCAGCTGTTTTAAGTTTGTTATTGTGAAGGGGCTGATTCCAAGGACAGGCAGAGCAATTAACTCTATTTGGAAAAACCGTTTTGACTGTAAAGTGGGGGCAGCTGATATTTGAAGGGAAATATTGTGTAGTGGGTTGCCGCATGGATGAACGACAGAGACTGGCGTAGTGCATAGCACGCTTTATTAGTACACAACAAGAACAAGAAACAACGGCCGACAGGCCAACTATATACAGCTATCTCCCTGGATAACATTTTCGGTTTTGTCAACTCAGTTCCATATATTTAGAGAAGATGGTGATTTTCTGTTCCGCCAAATAATTTAGCCATTAAATAACTTCTGTGTAATCAGGTGATTTCACTGAGGAATTTACAGGTGGGAAAGAATCACAAGTTAGTTGGTCAGATAAGTTTATTACGATCTGAGATCAGAATTCAAAATCAAAGTCATCAGCAGACATTTACATTGGTTCCATATCTTAAATACACTATACATGAAACATAAATTAGAATACTGGGATAAAATATTAAGACTGAGTCGTACACAGAAGGTTGCTCCTAGATCATCTATCAGGGCTCTTTTTGTAGCAGGGACTCCTTTGCATATTAGGCGACACACCCCTAATGTAGCCAATCCTCCAAGAGCTTACAGAGCTCTTCTTACAGGGGCTACTGTAAGCTCTTGGAGGATTGGCTACATTAGGGGTGTGTCGCCTAATATGCAAAGGAGTCCCTGCTACAAAAAGATCACATTCTGGAAAGTTTATGCTAAAGTTTGTTAGTCTTAAAGGTGCCAATGGTCTAATGTGGCTCTCCCTGCCCTGAAACCCACTTGTTCTTCTATTATTCTGTTTTCTTGTTCCAGCCAGTGTTTAATTTTTTTCCAGTAGATGGTTTTCATAAGTTTTACTGACACAGCTGAGCAGGCTAATAGGTCTGTAACTTGCAGTCCAATAGCCCCTTAAAGACCAACAAGGTTTCCAGGGGATGAGCATTCTGAGAGTTATAACTCCCTTTGTCAGATTTGTTAAGTTGCTATTTAACATTGGTGGAGAGCGAGTTTGTTGCAGTGGTTAGGAGCACGGACTCTAATCAGGGAGAACCGGGTTTGAGTCCCCACTCCTCCACATGCAGCTGCTGGTGCGACCTTGGGTCAGTCACAAGTTCTCTCAGAGCTGTTCTCTCAAGGGCAGTTCCCTCAGTGCTCTCTCAGCCCCACCTACCTCACAGGGTGTCTGTTGTGGGGAGGGAAAGGGAAAGGAGATTGTAAGCTGCTCTGAGA